ATTAATATAACCACCACCCTCACTTTACCTAAGGTAAGCTATATTGTATGCATATGAAAACTAAATTTGGTTTCATTTTGTTATGTTATGAGTTTATGTCTACTTAAATGAATTTATTTTATTAAGATAAAGTGATTGAGTAATTTGGAGTTTAGGTCAGTTGAAGGCCTATACCCATACTCTAATTAGAAATAGAGATAGAAATTAAATTTTTAATAAATCCTTTGTGATTGTAAATTTGTATCGACAAATAGGTGAGTCTCTAAGGATTCGGAAGCTCGTAATGACACGAGCAAAAAGTCACTAACAAATTCGTCTATATAAATAAGAAGTCACTAAAAAATTCAATTCATGAATTTAAGAAACCATCGATAACTTCATTTACATAAGTAGAAGGCTATTGATGGCTTTAATTCACACAACAACAAGTCATTTCAAATACTTAGAAGCAACTAGTGGCTTTTGTCTATATAAGTCGAAAGCCACCGATGGATTCGTTTTAGCAAAGAACAAGTCATTTTAAAAACTTGGAAACCACTAGTGACTTTGTCCACACGAGTGGTAAGCCACCGATGATTTTGTTTCATCGAATAATAAATCATTTAAAAATATTTAGAAGCCATTGATGGTTTTGTCTATATAGGTAAAGAGCCATCGATAGCTTTGTTTCAATAAATAATAGGTTATTTAAAAATATTTGGAAGCCACTAACAACTTCATCCACATGAATGGGAAACTACCGATGGCTTTGATTAAATAAACAACAAGTCATTTAAAAATATTTATAAGCCATAAGCAATTTCATCCACATAAGTGAAAAGTCATTAACAACTTCATTTTAATGATCAACAAGTCATTTAAAAATGTTTGAAAACCATTGGTGGCTTTATCCACATGCGTGGGAAGTCACCAACGACATTGTTTCAATGAACAATAAGTCATTCAAAAATAGATTGATACTACTAGCGTCTTCATTCATATGAGTGGGAAGCTATTGATGGATTCGATTCAATGAACAATAAATCATTTAAATCATACGTTAGACATGAACATTATGTAATCAAAATATCACAATCAGCATATTAGATCAATTTTATCACCCAAAAAACATAAAATCACTTTGAAGTATAAACATCGAGATCGACCTTGTCCCGAATAAACCATTAAAATTAAAATTATAAACTCGTCCTCCTATCTTTATCATACAAGTATTAATCAATCAACCTTATTACTCCTCAAAATACCTAGTGTCTTTGACCCTTTTGGGTTCGATACATAATAGTGTATCTTATCAACACTTCAAATATCAAAAACAAAACCAAATATGCCTTTATATATTTCATTCATTATAAATATGTTATTCAAGTTATTTTTATTTCAAAATTAAATGAATCAAATATTTCCAAAAGTTACCCAAGATAATTGTAGAAAAGTGTTGAATTTGTCAAAAGTCTTATTTGGGGTCCGTTTTACTTTCTCCAATCCTAATGAAAATTGATTATTCAATTAGTCAAGGAGAAAAAGCAACCGACTATTTTTATAGGTCTCGTTGCTCGTGAAAAGCCTCGCTTTTAGTTGAAATTACAAAAACACCCTCGACATATGCATTACATGCACCACCACTACCTCATCGTCTTTGACCACTCCTCTTACCAACTTATGGCACATGGATGGTCCTACAAGGTGAATGAGGTGTTCCTTTTTCTTTATAGAGTGGTTTCATTAGTGTTCATTACCTATGGAGAGAGATCGGTGGCTTAAAAAATTCAACCAAACCCCTTTCTTCTCTCAGCTTCGATTCTAGCTATAATGGGTGATTTCAAATATTGAAATCAAGGGAAAACAACCCTTAAGGCTTGATAGATCTTCGATTGATATGGCCAAAAAGAAAGTTGGGTTCTTTTTAAAGTCAAAAGGGTCAAGTTTAGCTTGATTTTTCTCCTTCTTCATCTATTTTCCATTCGTTGTCTCTAGTAAGGAAGAGTTTCTAAGGTGGCGGCGCAAACTTCGGCGTGTTGGCTACCATTGATATGGCTAGAAAATGATCAATTTGAGGGTAAACCTGTCGTGGAGTTGGTAGGTTTGAAGGATCCACGAGTTTGATGAGTTTTTCTTAGGGGTTGTTTGGCTCTTTTATTTTTATGGATAACTTCCCTTATTTGCTAAAAAATGATCTCTTTGAGAGAATAAATATATAGTTTTGAGGTTCTAAGGACGATGGCTATGCAAGGATTTTGGATTTTTTAGAGAGAATTTCTCTTTAGGTTTTTTTCTTACCAAAGAGAAAGTGAATGGCTTCTCTTAAGAGAGAGAAAATGAGGAGTTTTTATAGTGAGGGTTAGGTAAAGCTTAGGGAATTTTGACATTGACATTGATTTTTTTCTTTTTTTTTCTACATTTGAACCTTATTTCTTTCCTTTTTCTTTCTTTGTATTTTCAATTGACAACCTTTTTAATTGAAATTTTAATTCAATTTTATTAATTTCAATTTTTCATATATTTTTAATTGGAATCTCAAAATTCTCAATTCTCAACTTATTTCCTCTTTTTTCTTCTTTTTCGTTAATTTTTATAAACTCTTAAAAATTATGAGATTCCTAAAAAAAAATCATAAGTCTAGAATAAAATTGCAAAACCAAACAAATTACACAATGTACATTTAAATTTTTTTATTTTTTAAGAAAATGTGTAAAACAAAGGGCTAACAATTTGGTGCAAGTAGTTATATAATGAAGAAGTGAATAAAAAATGTTAATTTTATTTTTTTCTTAAAAAAAATTTATATTTTAGGTCATCTATGTCTAATGTACAACAATCATTTTTCTTTCCTTTTTTTTTAACTTTTTACTTATATGTATATATACATGTATACATATATATGTATGTATATATACATATAGATAGATATGTGTACACACACACACACACACACATATAAATATATATAATACTCTCATATAAAAGTTATAAGAATCCAACATATAAATTATATGAATTTATTTAAAAAAAAAAAGAAAATAATTATGTTTTTAGTTTTTATTCCAAACATCGAACATAGAGGAAAATAAATCATATTTTTTAATAAATAAATTTTATAAAAAAATTAACTGGATAAAAATTTTCATGAGAAATAACAAGTTAGATGAATAAAATTTCAATAATAAGAATAATATGATTTGAAATACATGTTCAATGTAAAATCTAAAAACATATCACTTATATTTCTTCCTTCCCATACTGTGTGAAAAGCCCAAAAATAATGATATATTTTTCATAATTTTTTTCACGATATTCAATAATAAAAAAGTAAAATAAATTATTCGAAAAAAAAAGAAAAAAAAAGGCTAGACTTCCACCCTTAGGCTTGGAAAACTTGGCCCACAAGAGCCCACAACTTGTTTCATATATAAAAAATAAAAGTAGATGATGTGCCTCTCATGTTGTGTATCATAGAAGACATGTTGTCCGCATACAAGTTTCAACAAACTTAAATTCATCAAAATATTAAAAGTACTATCCGACTGTTTGAACCCAATGTTAGTGTCAATTTTATCCTAAAGTATCTTAAAATCACTTAAATACGAGTTCAAAAAACTCGTTTGGCATATTAAAACTCATTTTAATGCACATAAAAACACAAAAATCCAAATCAAATTGAAAAACTCAAAAACATTTTTGGGTCGTGATCTACTTTGTTCAACCATTTCATGGCTCAAAGACCATCATAAATAAAGTCTCTTAATCAAAATAAACAAATTGAAGCCAAGATCGACAATCAAAATGGATATAATGGCCCTCTACTTATTTTTCTTTCTCCTTTATTCTCTCTTTTTATTTTTCTCTCCTCCCGACATTCAATGACTAAACCATAATGTAAATGAAGTTAAAAGTCATAGCAAAAGTTTTTTGAAAGATTAAAAATCAAAATGTAACACTTTCTAATACTTGCATATCAAATGCATGAAATAAAAACTTAAAAATTACAATAGTGCTATTAATAAATAGGGATTATGAGTTTACGAGAGAGTTGGTACTATTCATTGAATAATAAAAAACCAAATATTTTAATTATTGTTGATGTGTGTAAGATGTAATCTTTTTATAGGATGATAACACTTTCACAAATCAAGAAATAATAATAATAAATATCAATGGATCAATTAAGGTTTGATAATTTTTTAGGTTCGGTAGTAAAGGTGTCCTCGAACTAGCTTTCACACACTCAAGACTAATCCCCCTCTAATTGTGCTAAGGGACATCCCTTAATGCACGACTTTGAGTAGTCTAAAAATAAATTTTTTAAAGTGTTGGTCGAATGATTAAACCGTAAACTTAATCTACAAGTCGAAACTTGCTTACTAGCGTGCTAACACCTTGTGGTTAGATTTGATCTTTACATAGACTTTCTTTCTACATCATTCTACTCTTGGCACATGATTTATGAAATTTTGAGGGGGAAAAAAAAAAAAAAAAAGAGAGAGAGAGAGAGAATAGTAACACATGAAGGTGATAATATGTAAAACCCAATTTATACCTCCTATTTGCGTCAATTTGTAAACAATCCTTATAAAAATTACAAAGAAAGACCATATTGTTTATAATTCAATCTGATTGGATAGAATTGAAGAAATGTGAAGAATTTAAGATAAATTTGTTGATATTTTTTTTTCAGTGGCTTATTTGTCAAATTGACACAAAACATGGACTAGACTGAGGGATTTCCAAGAAGAAACCCAAATTTCAAGTTAAGGGTCGGGTTCAAGAGTTTCATGTCTTGAGCCGAAAGAACAAACACATGGGCTAGATTGGGGCATTTTCGAAGAGAAAACCCAAATTGCAATCTCTGTTAGGGTTCAAGAGCTCCAAATCTTGACCCAAAATAAGAACTTCTAAGAACCCGACATAGACTTTCACTTTCTGTGTCTTTGAACAGATCTTTGCTGCGCTTTCTTAACATACAGAGGGAGATCAAAGAGAGAAAGAAACCCAAAAAGAGAAAAATGTCAAGACAAGCAAAAAGAATTTTATCATCTTTGTCTTCAAAGATTTCATCTCTTTCTCATTCACAGTCTCGCTCTTTCACGGCGGCTCCTCCACCGCCTCCAGCAGTGTTTGTTGACAAGAATACAAGGGTTATTTGTCAAGGAATCACCGGAAAGAATGGAACTTTTCATACTGAACAAGCTATTGAATATGGCACTAAAATGGTACATAAAATTTCTTCTCTTCAGATTTAGTATGTGTGTTTTTTTATTGATTTTTGTTGGTGGGGTGTTGTTGTTTTGTTAATTTGATCATGGATTTTTCCTGTTTTGGTCTCCAATGGAACAGAATTGGCATAGTTGCTCTTATAGATGCATATTTGTGATAGAACGTGTTGGAGGTGATTTAGTTTCTCATGTTTATTTATGGGTTTCTGCTATTTAGTTATTGATCTGACTATAGTATAGAACAATGTGTTTTGCTAAATTGAATTTTAGTTCTATAATTACAAATTGTCCCGTGAAGTAAAGTTTCAGTACAAAACTATTATGTTGCTTTGCACTGTAGTTATCAAGCTAATACATCATTTGACATGTAAATCATTGCTGTAATATCAGTCTATCACCCTTCTGTTTACTTGCTGGTAAAAGTGTTTTTTTTTTTCCCTTAATGTTTCAAGGTTCTTTTATAACACAAAGTTTCAATCCATTTATTTTCTGTTGTATAATTAGGTTGGTGGAGTGACACCTAAGAAGGGTGGGACTGAACACTTGGGACTTCCCGTTTTCAATTCAGTTGCAGAAGCAAAGGCTGAAACTAAGGCTAATGCATCCGTGATTTATGTTCCTCCACCTTTCGCTGCTGCGGCTATTTTGGAGGCAGTTGAAGCTGAATTGGATCTTGTTGTGTGCATCACTGAAGGAATTCCTCAACATGACATGGTAAATAAAGTTTATAGCTCACTGATCATTGTATATTAGTAGCTTTTAAAGCTGGGTAGATGGCCCAAACCTGCTTCTCCAACGGTTCGTTCTTCCTTTGTTCTGTGTTTTGTTGTTAAGTTATTGTATCCTTGGTTATGATTTGACTTTTTATTTCAAGTTAGGTATTAAAGTAGAAAGCCATAGTAGTGCTGGATGCTTTAACATGCTGCCATGGGTGAAATGCACTTAATCTTATTTACATTGATCTACAAAGGATAAGTGGTTAACTTAATCACGTTGGAAGTTTGTAACTTGTGTTCATGATTAATTGAAGGCACTGCAGTGGTATAATACTTGCATGCTGGTGATTTTTATGCATCATGCTCTAAAACTGCCTTATTTCCTAAAACTCTCCCTTCATTAGTAATTCTGGAGTAGTTTCAACCATCTTCATGCATTGTTATGTTGCACCTTCAAAGGATTAATGGTTATGTGCAACCACTGCTCTAGCCTAAGATAGTTGTTAATATATTAAAATGTGACACTGAAGTTGATTTTTCGCAATTACAGGTTCGTGTGAAGGCTGCTATCAACAAGCAATCAAAAACCAGACTAATTGGTCCAAATTGCCCTGGTGTTATCAAACCTGGGGAATGCAAGATTGGAATCATGCCTGGATACATTCACAAACCAGGGCGTATAGGAATTGTTTCTCGTTCTGGCACGCTGACTTATGAGGCTGTAAGTCTAAAAATTCATGACATGCTTTTGTTCATTTGGTACATCTATTAATGGTCCTGTTTATCAAGATTAACCAGTCTTTTTTATGCCCTGTTTATCAAGGATTACTGCCTTGGAAACCTCTTTTGTTTAAAAATAAGAAAATTGTGCTGACTTACCATTAATGTTTCCACTTTCCATGACCTTGATAGTCTGCATATGGCATAACATACTGATTACAAACAGTCTTTTCAACTTATTATTGACTTTATTTTTAAAATTCTGTTAGGTTTTCCAAACAACTGCAGTTGGGCTAGGGCAATCTACCTGTGTAGGTATTGGTGGCGATCCTTTTAATGGCACAAATTTTGTTGACTGTGTGAAGAAGTTTCTTTCCGATCCTCAGACAGAAGGTAAATTTCTTACTGGGAAGAGGTTAATCTCAATTTTGAAATTTTTGTGAAATGTTTTCTTTTTTTGTTGGAAATTTTTATGCTGAAAGCATGGTCTGTGTCTCTGCGATGATCATTGTTCAAGTCCTTTTTATTGCAATTTCTGGATTATTATATGATATTTGTTTCATGAAACAGGATGTAGATAATTAGATGTATTTGGGTTTGGTTTTAACAGAAGGGTAATAGAAGTTAGAAGCTTGTTTTACAATCATACTACAGTGTGCAGTGTCTTCAATGTGATCATATGAATTGTATTGCAGGTATCATTCTTATTGGTGAGATAGGGGGACTGCAGAAGAGGATGCTGCTGCTCTAATCAAGGCAAGTGGTTTAGATTTAGGGAATGTTTCTGGGAAAGAAAAGAAATACTAAGGGAGAGGAATGAACAAAATGTCATGTTTACAGAGGGATAATCTGCTGCTGAGTTGCTTGGAAAGAATATTCTGCATGAAATCACTTAAACAATCTATTCCATAAGTTATTTATGTAGTATGATGCATGCATCCACAAGCAACGTAAGTGAGTCAGACTGTGTTAGAAGCTCTAGTTTATCAGATCTTTAAGATAGTCTCTCTAGGTTTATAGTTCATCTTGATATTTCATGCAGTTTATTTGTGTGGTACATCATATATGCAGCTCCATAGAATTTTTCTTGTTTACCTTGCAATTTTTTTGCCAATTTGATAGGATGCTTTGATATATGTTGATGTATAAAACCTTTGTTCAGTTTCAACTTTGTGTAGGTTTTGTTTAGAATTACAAATTTATTTTTCTTTAAGGAATATCTCCATTCTATGCACGTGGCAATTGAACATTTATTTTGTGCAACAAATCAAACAGGAAAGTGGGACTGAAAAGCCTATTGTAGCATTTATTGCTGGACTTACAGCTCCACCTGGACGTCGTATGGGTCATGCCGGAGGTATTATTGTCTCCTACTGTGATTTTTTAAGTTATGCTTATATATTTCGTGCACTTAAACACACAACATGATTGTTTAGACCATTGGTTCAGGAGATATTAATGAGACGTGTAAAAGTTAAATTAGCAGCTGGTGTATGACGTGCATCATCTCTATATGATCTACTTGCAATCTTGACATTCATGGAGACCTTTGCTCGTATGATAGTCTGATAAAGAATTCATTTTGTAATATAAATCCATTAGTTCTCACTCAGATAGTCGATGTCAGCATGTCCATATTGCATAGTTGTTTCGTTTTGGTCGGCTTATCATTGTGATAGCATGCCCCATATTATGTCTTTCTGCTTTTCCTTGAATTATCTGGCCAGCAGAGAGGCATTGTTGAGTTGTGTTTTTCAGCATTTACACACAACTGAATGCCTAACTTCAATTGCCTGACCAAATCTACCAGTTTCTACTAAAACTTTCGTTGTAAATGATGAGCATAACTCACCGTTGCTTTTTGTGTACAGCCATCGTATCTGGAGGAAAGGGTACTGCTCAAGACAAAATCAAGACTCTAAGGGAAGCTGGGGTGACAGTGGTTGAATCTCCAGCAAAGATTGGTTCTGCCATGCTTGATGTCTTCAATGAGAGAGGTCTCGTGAGCTAGTAGTTTGTTTGGATATGCTTCCAGCTTAAATACATCATTTTATTTTGTACTTTTCTTTCAAAACTGGATTCAGGAAAAATATTTAAACTCAATTTTTTTGAATGGCCTGCCTGATGGGGCGTGCTTCAGGAGAGGAAAGTGTAAACTAAAGCTTGTGAGTTTTTTTCCATGTTCATTGATAACATGTTGCCAAAGTTGTTTTTGTGCAACCGATACAAAAGACTTGCAATCAAAATTTGGTATCATTATGTTCTTGTATGTGTTGCAATCTAAACAGGATAAATAAAATTCAAATCATTCCGCTGAGCAATTCTGGATTCTGTTTTTTTTTTTTTTTTTTTTTTTTTTTTTTTTTTTTTCCTTTAAATTGAGGATTACTAACACAATAAAACCAAACATAACATCAGATAAAAATAAGAGAGAAACAAAGAATATGGAGTAAATTACCCAACACCATACAAACAGGGGGTGATTCGTACGGGATGCAACACAACAGGGATTGCTAAGGGCGAAAAAATTGGAAAATTGTGGTGGCAGAACTGGCATGTGCAGGTGCATGTACATAGCGTCCTCTCTTGTGCCCGTGCGGTGGCTTGTGGAGTCGGAAGCCTCTCGATTTGGTGGCGCTGCAATCGTCCTTGTTGGAAGATTGTGGTAGTCTGGCACGCGTAGCTTTCGAAGATTGGAGTGGAGAACGGCATTCTTGCTTGCTTTCTTCTTCTCTGTCTACTGTTTTTCATAGGGTCTCCCCTTTTTCATGTGTGGCTGAGATTTTAACTACTAGTCTTCATGTACGTGTATGGATGGCAATGAGTTGAGTATTCATATTTTACTTACTAAAAAATATTATACTCATTACCTATTAAAAATTATTTACCTATTAAAAATTATTTATCTATTTCTTTATTTTATCCGTATCCATTATATCATATAATGTCTATATTTGTTTACCTATTATTTTTTTTCTTAAATTGAAGACTTTCTTTCTAAAACTTTTTTTTTTACTAATTTTTTTTATTATATTTCTTTAAGTATAATTTTAATGAAAAAATTTGCTGCTAATTTTACATTTAAATCTTAAGTTCTATTTTAGAAGCTTATAGTATTATTATGAATAATTGAAAGGAATCTATCCATAATTTTTTTAATAATTATAAAATAGAGAATAAATTAAAAAAATTTACATTTCAATAATATGTCATTATTAAATGATATAAACTAAAATTAGTCATGACTAGATTGGCACGGACAAACCATTAGCGGAGTCGAGTGGCGGAGGCAATGTGCCACGTAAAAACCAATTTGAACCCTCTATAATATAATCGCTTCCGAAGATTCCCTACTCCAAATTTATAACACAAGTGAACCATGGAAGAATATTTTACGGATCCGTCGGAAATTGGGTTATTGAACTCGGACTAAGTAAAGAGAAGTATGCCGAAAAGAATATGGGGGAAAAAAGTTTTTTTTTCTTTTAATTTTAATGATATGTTCAGTCATGTTTGCTACTTCCCATTTGAATGTACACTAAGTCATTTAAAGATGAAAATAGATTTGGTTAATTGTTGGAGAAGACATAAATTGGCTTACAACACTAATAAAGTAAGCAATATCTAGACGAGTCACCGTCGAGTAATTCAACTTCCTAAATAGTCTTTTGTATTCTTTCAATCTTTAAACAACTCACCATCTATTGTGAGTTACACATTAGGAAGCATTGGCGCACTATATGGTTTGTGTAACACCTCCAACCTAAGATCTAATAGGCTAAGAATATTACAATTGATAACTTACGTTCGGAGTGCAATGAAGTAAGTTACCAAAGTATTGTGATCTATCTATAAATTTAGATGGTACACCTATGATGCGGAGGTTACTTAATTATGGTTAGGTCCTACATTTAGTCCCAAATGTCCTATAAGAATTTTTTGTGTTTTGTATTCTTATTTATGTTCCTTGAATCAACCCTTGCAAAATTATGGTATTTGTCTTTCTTAATTTCATTTCCATTTAGTTATACAAATTTAGTTGGTCATAATTTATCCATTACTCGTTTTTCCTTTGATTATTATTTTATTCATTTTCTATTAGTTTAATTATAAAGGCATATCATGTAGTGAAATTACTATGCTAATAATTAACTTCAACTAGTACTACATTGGTTCACTAATAGTATTTTACTCATATACATGTAGATATTTACATACAACACTAGTTTAATTAGTCCATTGCCATCTACTATAAAAATGACTCATTTACTATTTACATCTAGTTCCCTATCCTCTTTTCATCTAATATGCCATCGCTTTAAGTAACGTATAACGAACACAACCATAGCTATAAAGTAAGCTAAAATACTTAGAATAGTGAGAGCTATAGTGTGTACAAAATCCATACGCCAACCACAACCAATGTATACGCATCGGATCAACTCTTCGGTAGTCGGCTCAAAAATGACAAAAACCATCCTTACTTGTGTTGGGTACACCACAAACACATCAATGAGCTATAGCTCAATAAGTTAACTTAGGCATGTAATGCATATGCATGTGTATGTAGGTATGAAATGACATGTGCATAATAAATCATTTTTCCTCGTGTCATAAATCAATCTGAAAATTCTTTTTCTGTCTCTAGAAATGTCCCATTTAGGTACTTTAGGGTTTTCATAATATATATCCAACGAATCGGACTTGCCTACGGATGCGTCCTACGGGCCTCCGAAAGTGCACGTTTGCACTTGCTCGGCCCTAAACCATTTTCATTACTCGTATGGAAAACCCATGAAGCCCATCCTCAAAGAAACCTCGGAGTCATGAAAATCCTTTTCTTTAAACTAATTCCGATTAATATCAAAAACTTATAGCATATAACACGTTTTCATTACTTAAAACATTATTCATGAGCTTTGGCATGCATATGTATTCCGAATGACAATGCATGCAAATATTGATGTCCAAGTGCATGTCCTAAATGGTTATGTAATCATGTCATGAAAACACATATAAAATCGGACAGACATAACGACATAATAACATTACCTTCCATAAATCATTCCAATCATCCCATACCATATCATCACCATAACAAGAACACAACTTCACAAGTACTCACATTTCAACCATAAATAACACTTATCATTCAAATATATTAAATACCAATTCAAAGTAAAAATAAGCATAATAATACACAAAATGACTAAATTCAAATTTTTCTTCATACTAGGCTAGCTTTTTATTTTAATATTATTTAGTCATTTCCTTTTGATTCTTATTACCCATTTGACATCCACTATGTTCTAACCTAATTAAAATTTTCTAATTGTGTAATATTTGACTAATTATGGGTATTAATTTCTTATAGGGCCTAACCTTCAAGTTCCCCATTTTAGATCCATTCTTGGCACCCATTATTTTTTTTTTTTTATATTCTCATAAACCCCATTACATTATTCTAACTCCAAATTGACCATTTGAAGGATTAAGGGTGTAACATCCCCAACTTAGGACCTAATAGGTCGAGAATGTTACCACCAACAACTTACGTTCGGAGTGTAATGAACGCAAGTTACCAAAGTCCTATGACTTATCTATAGCTCTAGATGGTACACTTACGTTATGAAAGTTCACTAATTACGATTAGGTCCTACGCCTTGTCCCGAATATCCTATAAATGTTTTTGCGTTTCACAATCCTATCTATGTTTTTTGAATCAAACTATCCAAATTTATGATACTTGTTTTTCTTAAATTCATTTTTCCATTTAGTTATACCAATTTATTTAGTTACAATTTATCCATCACCTTTTTTTTTTTTTTCAATCACATCATTTAGTGAAATTACTATGTTGATAATTAATTTAAACCATTACTATGCTAGCAATTCACTAACGGTACTTTACTTACATACACATAAATATTTACATAAGAAACTAGGTTAATCGAGTTCATTGCCACCTATTATAAAAATGACTTATTTATTTATTACATCTAGTTTCTTATCCCTTTTTATCTATTGTACCATAGTTTTAAGGAGCACATAACATAACACAGATCATAGCTATAAAGTTTACTAAAATACCCGGCATAACAAGAGCTACCGTATGTATCGAGTCCATACATATGTTAGTGTTGGTGCCCAATATCCAACCATACATTTTTCTATCCCGTTTTTTATATAGGATGACCGGCAACACATCGATACAATCGATCATTGATGGAAGTAATGCTTTTAATGGTACAAACTTCCTCGAATGGGAAATGAATTTGAGGATAGTCCTTCAACATGAGAAAATTCTTTATACGATAGAGAAAGCTTTTCTAGATGAGTCTTCTCTAGTTCAAGTCGAAGCTCATGAAGTATGGATCAAACATAGAAATGATACGATCACTCGCTAGAGTATCATACTTGCTGCAATGACGTCGGAGTATAGGCGCCGAGCATAAAAGCTCACAAGCTTTTGATATTATAGCAAGGTCGAAGAGCTTATTTGAGATGAATACTAGGCATGAGCATTATGAGATAGCAAAAAAGCTCTTTAGGGCCAGAATGGATAAGGGATCTAATGTCAAAAAGTATATCACGGAAATGATAGGCTATATCGATCAACTAGCCAAACTTAAAGTTGGAATGGATGCTAAATTATCCATCAACCTAGTATTGCAATCTTTGCCTAATAGCTATGGACGAGTTCATCATGGATTTCAATATGATGAACATGCAAAAAACTCTTGGAGAGTTATTTTCCATGCTAAAGGAAGCTCAGTTCAAAATTAACAAGAAAAAAAAAGTTATGTATTTCTAGTTAATAAGAGAAAAGGTGTAGTAAAGGGCAAGAAAAAGCCTAAAAAGAAGAAGAAGTCTTCAACTACACCTACTAGAGGAGTGAAAAAGGCCGAGGCTTAGAATAGCTCAAAGGATGTAGTTTTCTTTCATTGCAACAAAAAGGGGCATTGGAAGCGCAATTGCAAGGAGTACCTAGAAGGGGTGTAAAAGTAGAGT